ATATCACTGCAATATTTTCTCACTTTGGAAGTTTTTAGCCTTGTTTCTAATATGAATCTACTGTATACCTTTGTGATTTATGCTGCGTGTAATTTTAATTTCTGTTGCAAATTGAAGTTGGCTATTGCTTGATATTTACTGTAGGCCATTTAGTACTTGAAAAATGAAAAAAGATAAATAGTTCTTCATTGAGAAGCAACTATACTGCTAAAATGCTGAAGATCATTCTCTGTACTGTTATGTTTATAAATACAACCATCGAGGAAAAAAAGTGTTTGGAATATATTCGTCATGGAGAATATTATTAATTGAATAATTAGGTATTACCGTATGAGCTGAGGTAATTTGTCAGCTCGGAATGCTTGACGTTCTTTGGGCACGATTATTTGTGCAGTTAGAATGTAACGTACTGTCTAATTTTGTATGGAATTGGTGTGTAAATTTAAATTTTATTCTACTATACTCACGTGCAAAGCACGAGAGAGCGCACTTAGTTTGTTTTATATTTTTTAATTTTTTTGCTGGTTGTAAAATAATAAAATAGTTGCATAGTAATATAAATTATGAGCAATTACAATTTTGTTGAAGTAAATAAATTATACCATAAAACTATGTATAAAGAACTATATGATTAATTATTATAGTTTGGATAATTGTTATAATTTATTCATAATTTATTAAAATAATTATCATATGTTAAATAATTTTCTCTTTTAAATATAATAATATTATACATAGCATACTTATAATACTATTAGTAACTATATTTTAATTTAATAATTAGTTTATTATACTATTAGTAAATAATTTACTAAATTGTTTAATTATTAAATTATAGTATAATTTATTAATTTAAAAAACACTATTAAGATCATTATACTATTACTATTACAATTACAATAAATACAAAAATTTTAATACTATTATCATACTTTGAAAAGGTTAGTAAGATGAAAGGTAATAGGTAGTCCTTCATAAGTGGTGATATCCTAAGATACAAAGCATAAGACTGATGAATTTTTCTTATTTTTAAAATTTTTAGAATTTTTAAATATTATGTGAAGATAAATTAGGGATAAATTTAAATTTTTTTATGAAATAACATACTTAAATAATAAATTAATAGTGTGAGCAAAGCTTTCAAAAAGTGAGGAAATGTATAATTAATAGTGTGAGCAAAGTTTTGACAAGACAATCTTCTTTTATATGTAGTATAGATTAATAAATATCTAGTTCTAGATCTTTTCTGGTAAGATCAATTTTTTTGTTGTTAATAAAATAAGAGATGAGCTAGGTTATTATCAAAGGTATTTTCTGGAATGCTGTTGATCCCTGAAACTGGTGATGTAGCCAATTAAAATTTAAGGATTTTTCGAACTTTTAATTTAAACGGTTTTTTCCTTTTTTTTCCTTTCAAGTATTTAGAAGTAACACAATCTATGATTTTGTTTGATTTTACCCCTACATCAAATAAACATAAAGTCCAGGCTTTAGGGTTCGTTTGATTGGTTTCGGAGGAGCTCGAAAGCTACCACAGATGTTCGGGCTCTTTCCCATCCAAAAACAGAGAACCGAACGGACCCTTAGTATTTGTATAGAATTGGTTGATTGTCAAACACTTCATGCATGAAAAGACCAAGCAGAGCAATTGTTTTTTTTGTTCACCCTGGTGTACATCTTATAAACCATAAGTCTTGATACGAGTTTTTAAATTTGAAAAGCAGGTTTTTGAATTAGTGCGACTCATTTGTAGTGTATACTAAACTATACTAAACCAATTTGTTTGTTATGACTCGACAAAATTATTAGACAACTGACTTTTTATCTCTATATTCTAATTATTTATTGATTTTTTCACAACTCTCATTACAATGAGTTCCAAATTAGCATGTATTTTAATTATTATATTAATAACATTTCTAATTTATAATGTAACTTTCCAAGTGCAAGCTAATATATAACTATCATAATCAAAATATGGCAATGTGATTATTGCAAAGTTGTTATACTGAGTCATGTGCATCATGCGCAATAAAATAGTCAACTAATATTCTCTAAAACGCACCAACACACGCACACTCGTTCATCCACCTGCAAGTATGAGGTGCAAGGTGACGTCTTGTTTTATTAAATATTATACCAATGCTATTCCTAATATTTACATCGAAATTAGAAGTAGGTGGGTTTTATTATTCATTGTCTTCATTTTGCTAGTTCATTTTGCTAGGGCCTAGGCCAAAGAGCAATACACTTCAGAAAGGTGGTGCCTCTTGAAAAAGTGGTAAGGAACTGAATCTGATATATAACATACACACACACAAAAGGGAAAAAAAAAAATCTAACTGTAGGACTGAATTGTGATTAAATCAAAAAGATTAAACAATAAGAGCGGAAGCTATGTCTGAATCTATAGATAATTTGAATTAGGGTTTTGATGATCTTCTAATCTTAGGGTTTCTCCTTTAGTATCTCTTTAGATGGGGATAAGCTCCGACCGCAGCGCCGACCCTAAACCCTCTCCTCCGACCGCAGCGCCGACCACGTGTGGAATCGAGTCGAGAACCCAAACCCTCTCCTCCGACCCCAGATCCTGCTCCCTCTCTTCTCGCCGTCGAGCTCCGCAGAACCCAAACCTTCTCGCCGTCGATCAGCGCCGACGCCCTCTCGCCGTCGTGCTCCGCAGAACCCGAACCCTCTTCCTTGAATCAGGTTCGTTTTCATCTTCTTGCTTGATTTAGGGCTTTTGATTCTTGCTATTCTTGTTATTAGGAAGGAGAACCCTAGATTTGTCGAGATTAGGAAGATCGGGGGATTTGTTCTGTTTGTTGTGTTGATTGGGCTAGGGTTAGGAGTTGAAGGAGATAATCACAAGTTTAAGGAGGGGGAGCATGTTCCTTTGTATGCCAACAAAGTTGGGCCTTTTCACAATCCAAGGTAAAGTTTGTGGAAATCTTGTTTTGTAATATGAGGTATTTTGATTTTGATGTGGATCTGTTTGTGTTTGATAAGTTTATTAAGCTCTAGCTATAGTTATATCGAAATTCTAGAACTGCTGTCTCTTAGGGTATCAGCATTCTCCATTTATCCACCTGACTCCTTTTGTTATTTGAGGTTGAATGGGAGAATTTGAAGCTTTTGCAATATCAAAGAGTATTATTTTCTTTCTAAGTTGATGGATTTCATATTCTATATATGACTCGTAGTGTATTTAATCTTGCAGCCGTTGATCTATAGATTCTGATGTGAGTGAAGGTCTCTGTTTTTCATGTGATATATGTTTATCTCCTAGATCCTTGATTCCATATTCACATCTTATACGAACGAAAGCAAATCGAGATGACTAGCAGTACATATTCATGTGACAATGTTTGCAATTTGGTTTTTTTAATCTATCATCGATTGCTTATTGCCAAATTGGTTATCCACTTGAGAGTACATACATTGTTTACTGCAGTGATGGCAACCTGTGGATTTTAAGCTAAAGTATATGAGGATGGTGCCCCCCCACCCCTATAAAACCGAAATGTCTCTTTGATCTGGATGAATGTAGACCTGGCTATAACTTCATATGGATGCACATATTCTAATTTGCTCTTTAATATGATTGTCTGGTTAAACTTTTGTATCTGTAGCCGTGGATCATGGAGTCATCTTCAAGCAATCGTCGTGGACTGTTGTGCCATTGTGGAAGGAGGGCTATACTCTCCAGATCTGGAACTAAGAGGAACCCCGGTCGATTGTTTTTGGGATGCGCGAATTGGAAAGAGAGTAATTGTGGATTCTTCAAATGGGTGTCTGATGAAGAGGAGTTTGAAGGTTCAAAGACAGAGCTTGTTCAGACGAATCAGTCGAGCGTGACGCCACAAGTTTCAAGAGCCGTGACAAGTGGGGAAGTGTGGAAAAGGAGAAAGCTTTCCCTTGATATTATGGATTTGTTGAAGCTTGCTGTATTTGCTTTTTTATTTGGTATTTTTTTCGGATTTGTATTTGGTATTTTTATTGGATTTCTGCTAAGTAAGGTGTAAGAATGTATTAATGGATTTGTTGAAGTGTATGTTCTCTGCATGTGTACTAAATGCAAACTAGGTTTATGTTGAAGTGTATGTTCTCTGTTATCTACATGTGTACTAATTCGACCAATGCTTATCAATGGTAATAATTTTGTGGATGAGTAGTATATTATCAATGCAGTTATATATCAATTAGCGCACGGAACAGGTGCTATGTTGATATGATTTATTATTGAAACTTTTTGCTTGTAATTATTTGCAAGTATCTACATCTTTTTTTAAAATTAATTCAGCTTAATGGAGGGACAAACTTTTGCAACTCAGAACCAAGAAAAGGAAGTGGGCATGATAGATTTGATAATTTAACCTGTCTTTGTAAATATGTGTAAATGGCACAACTCCTGTTAATATAAAAAAATGATTTATCATTTTATGTAAGCACAAGATCAAGCGAGCTGGCTGGCACAACTCCTGCATGTGTACATATTCCTGTCTGCTCTCTCATTTTCAGCGAGTTGGCTGGCCCCTGCTTGCCTTTTACCCAAGATCAAGCAAGTACAACATGCAGCAGCAGTTAAATGCAACTACAACATGCAGCAGCAGCAGTTAAATGCAGCAGTTAAATGCAGCAGCAGCAGCAATTAAATCATCCGACACTTGCGAAATTACACTAGCAGCCAATCAAAAAAGCTATTAACAAAGCATCATGACATAAAAGCAAACTTCACAGTGCAAACCTCTGCATGATGCACCATAACTATCCAACCTTGATCAATACAGAGAAAATAAGCAATAGTGTCTCAATCTTTCATCACAAAGTCAGCAACAGAACCACCAAAAGATGAAACATCATTCACTATTAAACAATAAAATGGACTTAACTACTAAACAATGAAATGGACTTAAACAAAGTTGGTGCTCTGTCTTCATCAACCCCTTATCACCAATAGTGATATGATTTGCTCTGCCAACCTTAATTAAACTTCAAGCAATAGTGAGAACTTCATCTGTATTAAAAAAATTAAAAAACAAATGATTTCATCACATTAAAAAATCACATTATATAATACAAATGGCAATGTGCAAGTTATTCCGTATGTATTAACCATTACCTTCCTCAAATGAATCTTCTAAATCATCCGTGGCTTCATCAATGTTATCTTGTTCCATTGAATCACTATAAAAAAAATTGATTATAGCAAAACATATTAAAGATCATCGCACCAACTTAAAAAAAGTTTAAAGAAATAATAACTTTAGTATTACTAAAACAAATGATATACTACCTTGACAACTTTAGAGGGCAATTTCTGCTATCATGATTTTGTCCTCTCTTTCCACACAATTTGCATTTCCTAGGCCGGCATCTACGGATCTCTCTCGATGGCTTTAACCTCTTCCCTTTAGGCCTTCCTTTTGTTCTTGCTTGACTTGGTTCATGAACTATATCTTGAGAACACTCCTCATCCACATCTTGTCCAATTTCTTCATCATTGATGAGTTTCAAACGTTGCACCTTATTAATAGCATCCATCATCATTTCACGCATTAATTCATATGCATCATTAGAAGATAGCCCCTCTTCGACCATTTCATTAGCTAAGCAATTTAGTTCACTAAAACGAGAAGCAAAATTAATTGTGGCATTATCTCCAATAATATTACCATCTCTAAGAACAACCCTTTTTCTGACATTTCGGCACCATCTTTTTAGAATATATTGCTCCGGTAACTCACTATGATTGGTAATTTTAAGATATGCCAAGATATGTCGGCATGGAATGCCCTTGAATTCAAACATGAGACACGAACAACGGACCATTTTAGTTGTTTTGCAATATATAATATGTCTCAATCTTTCATCATGACCACAAAAATTTAATTGGAAAGTACTTTCTCTTTCATTTTCTTTTACAAGCTCAATGTTATACATTAAGCTAGGTTGAAGCTCGTCTTGAAAAATATAAAAGATTTTTTTCGTGTAGATTTGGGCCATTTGTTTTTCCATTGACCATAAAGTCTTCAATTTTGGCTTTTTCTCTACTGTGCAATGATCTTCTTTAAGCTCCCCCTCTCTTTGTCTCGCCAAGACCCTCTGAAAGATGGTCACGAAATCATGAAGTGAATTTTTCCTTGATATATGTTTTTTTAGTAATGCATTCATCCCTTCACTTCTTTGACTGCTAGACATTCCGGCCCAAAAGTATTGTTTATGATAAACGGGAGCCCATTTTTCACGAATTTCATAGATATCATTTAGCCAATCATGCTTTTCCAATCCATTTTTCTTAATAATTGAAACCCATTTCTCTTCAAAAGAGCTAGCATCGTCGGAGTCCCAAATATTTTCTTTGAAAGATTTCATAAATTCCGTTCTATAAGCCCATTGACCCAACTTCTCCGGAACTTTGTCCAAGATATGCCAAATGCAAAACCTATGCCGAATTTCTGGAAAAACTGTTTCAATTGCCTTGCATATGCCAAGACATTGATCTGTAATCATGCCTGAAGGAGGATGACCCATTGCTTCAATCCATTTGTTAAACAACCATACAAAAGACTTCGCCTCTTCGTTTGGGATCAAGCCACATCCTAAAAAAACACTTTGCCAATGGTGATTTATGCCTACAAACGGCACAAATACCAAGCCATATTGATTTGTGTTATGCGTGGCATCGAAGGAGACAACATCGCCAAAGTGTTGATAATTCATTCGAGCAATGCCATCCACCCAAAAACAATGAGTTAAGCGCTTCTCTTCATCAACTTCATAAACATAATAAAATGAAGGATTCTTCTCTTGTTCCGACTTGAAATGATCCAACATCATTTGTGCATCATGACCGCGCCTCTCCTCTCTCAAATCTCTTTCATAATTTCTCACATCGGTCTCAATGCATCCAATTCTATGAAAACCTCCGCTAGAGTTTTCAAAGAAGGCCATTTGCTTGTTTGTTGGAATGTTCACCTCTCCAAACTGCTTTATCAATGTCTTCTTCGCACTTGTTACATCACGGTTTCCCCTTAGAAAATGTGTTCTACTCGGTGAAGTAATTGTATGATTATGTTCTTCCACGAACTTGTAGACACTCCATATGCCAATGTTTTTGTCTAATTTGAAGCGAATCAAGGCCTTACAATTTGTTCTAATTGTACCACATCGTCGGATTTCCAACGATTTGCTCTTTAACACTCCTTCTTTCGAACAAACATAACTTTTGCAAATTAACTCTCTATCCTTCCCATAATTTGTTGTGCTATTACGGATATCAAAACCTCCGACCTTTCCGTAATTTCTGTAGAATTTTTCAGCATCTTCTAAACTGTCGAAAGTCATTCCTATTTTTGGTTTTAAGTGCTCATCAACAATTGGCACAACTAAGTTATCTAACTGGGATATTTGTTCATCAACAACATGGGAGCAACCATCTTCAGTTTCTATTGGATCAGACATCAAGAACAATTTTTACCTACAAAAATTAACATCAACAACAAACATCAAGAATAAACCATCAAAGACTACTGTGCACAAACATAAACAAATATCTTTCATGTGCACAAACAGATAATGAGCAACTTAATCTTTTTTAACTATAAACTAGACTTTACCTAACAACGGTTTTAAAAGAAATGGGGCAAAAATTCAGTCCAGACCTCACCATCTGATTTCAATAGCCAACTATTTTAGATATTATATATTATGCTTCTCAGCTAGCAAAAATGTAAATGAACACGAAACAATTAAGAGCTTAATTAATTTCCTTGATATATGTTTTTTTCGAAAAAATAACAAGAATAGGGAGCAGGATCTCGAAAAAATCAAGCAAGAAGATGAAAATGAACCTGATTCAAGGAAGAGGGTTCGGGTTCTGCGGAGCTCGACGGCGAGAGGGCGTCGGCGCTGATCGACGGCGAGAAGGTTTGGGTTCTGCGGATCTTGACGGCGAGAAGAGAGGGAGCAGGATCTGGGGTCGGAGGAGAGGGTTTGGGTTCTCGACTCGATTCCACACGTGGTCGGCGCTGCGGTCGGAGGAGAGGGTTTAGGGTCGGTGCTGCGGTCGGAGGAGAGGGAGGTGTCAAAACATAAAAGTAGAATATTACGGCATAGCAACATGAAAAATCCTTTAAAAACTTATATTTTAATATCAATGTTTCTAGAGGAATTGATTGATATATATATATATATATATATATAGGTGTTGTACATTTATAATTTGGCCCCTCATCAAATTATAAATACAACCTGATATCTGCAATGTGATCAGTACATGTCTATTTTTAACTGGTCCTACCTTAAACTTTAGTGAGGTCAACCTCAACATAATGTACCGGAGTGTATGAACTGAATACTTTATTCTGATCAGACAATACAACCTAACATAAAACATTACAATCACAAACTCCCACTAAATCATGATATCCTCAAATAATATCACACCCATATGAGCAGTGTGCTCATGAAAGACCATAGGTGACAATCCTTTAGTAAGAGGATCAGCTATCATGGAGTTTATCCTAATATGCTCTATGGATATTTATCCATTCTGTACCCTTTCTTTCACAACTAGGAATTTAATGTCAATATGTTTTAACTTAGTTGAGCTCCTGTTGTTATTAGAATATATAACTACAGATTTATTGTCACAACATAACATTAGTGGTCTTTTAATATTTTTCAAAATGCGTAGTCCCGTGATAAAATTTCGCTGCCATATTCCCTGATTGGATGCCTCATAGCAAGCTACAAATTCTGCTGTCATAGTAGAGGAAGCTATAAGTGTTTGTTTGACACTTTTTCATGATATAGCTCCTCCTGCTAACATATAAATATAGCCTGATGTAGACTTTCTGCTATTTTGGCATCTAGCAAAATCAGAATCAGAATACTCAGTGACCTCCAACTGTTCTGATTTTCTGTATGTGAGCATATAATCTTTTATTTTCTGAAGATAGCTCATAACCCTTTTGTCTGTTATTCAATGATCCATACCAGGGTTGCTTAAGTATCTACCTAATATCCCAACAATGTACGTAATATTCGGACGCGTACATACTTGAGCATACATTAGACTTCCTACAGCCGAAGCATAAGGAATCTTCTGTATTTCCTGAATTTTAAGGTTGCACTGAACTTGTCTCCTTTAGCAACAGGGGTGTCTCCTGGTCTGCAGTCTTGCATGCCAAACCTTTTAAGTACTTTGTCGATATAGCTCTTTTGTGATAATCCAAATATACATCGAGAACGATCTCGATGTATCCGGATTCCTAATATAAAAGAGGCATCCCCAAGATCTTTCATCTCAAAATTCTTTGATAGAAATCTCTTGGCTAATATAAAAGAGGCATCCCCAAGATCTTTCATCTCAAAATTCTTTGATAGAAATCTCTTGGTTTCGTGTAACATGCCTATATCACTCAAAATTCTTTGATAGAAATCTCTTGGTTTCGTGTAACATGCCTATATCATTAGTGGCAAGCAATATGCCATCGACATACAGAACCATAAAAATATACTTACTCCCACTGAACTTGTGATATACACAGTCATCAACAATGTTCATCTTAAAATCGAACGAGATAATTATTTGTTGAAACTTGTAATATCATTGACGATGAGCTTGTTTAAGTCCATAGATGGATTTCTTTAATTTACAAATCATATTCTTCGGGTCTTCTGACATAAAGTTTTCTGGTTGTACCATATAAATCATCTCATTAATATCGCTATTGAGAAATGCAGTCTTAACATCCATCTGATATAACTCAAGATCAAAATGAGCAACAAGCGTCATGATTGTTCTAAAAGAGTCTTTCGACAAAAATCGGAGAGAAAGTTTATGTATAATCAATGCTTTCCTTTTGAGTAAAGCTTTTAGCTACAAGACGTGCCTTATACCTCTCCACATTATCGTTTGCATCCCGCTTGGTTTTAAAATCCCATTTACAACCAATTAGTTCTGCACATTCTAGCAATGAGACAAGTTCCCAAACCTTATTGTCTTGCATAGACTTGTACTCTTCTTTCATGGTTTTAATCCGTTGCTGAGAGTTAGAACGTTTCATGGCCTGAAGGAAGTTGATTGGATCATCTTCCAATATTCCATTATTATCCTCATGTTCTTAGAGAAATACAATATAATCATCCGGAATAGCATTTCTCCTTTATTTCATGGGTCTCCTTAATGGCACTGGTTCTTGAGGTTGTTGAGTTTGTTCTTCTGGAATAGGTAGTTGTTCAACATTGTTATCTCGAGGTTCTGGATTTACTTCTTGAGCAACAACAGGTATAGGAACCTGAATATTGTTAAAAGTAACTGTATGAATTGGATC